TCTGTATACATAACAGTAAGTTTAGAATAAATGAAATTATTGTGAAGGCACTCTATACAAAGAATAAATCCAGGTTTAACTGTTAATCCTTGTAATTTAATTTGGTTCAGCTTTCAAAAAAATGTTTGGTGTGATTAATCAGAAGGTCTCCACTAATTTATTCTGGATTTATCTGTGCAACTCTGGAGTGATGTCAGTAGAACATCTTTAGATGGAGCGGGCCTTGCTTTATAAAAGTAGGCTTTTATGGATATTTTGTCAGTTTCAATTTCTTCCTCCTCCTGGGAAATAACAGAACTAGTATCAAGTCGGTTTTAGTTCTCCAGCTGTACAAAATCTAATTTCTTGCACAATGATGTGCAAGACTGTTGTTTCTTCCCGCTTAGAACTACTCTGCCACAATGACTTTCTATTTGTGTCTATTACCCTTTCAAAATTAGAATATATTTGGCACTGTTTAATTGAACACTTTTGTAGAAACATTTCATGATTGGGGGCAATCTCATATGTTTCTTTATTTCACATTTTTGTGTAATTGTCAGATGCCCAGATGGGATGTGGGAGGAAGGCCAGACAAACCAGCCTACTGAAGTTGAGGCAGAATCTGCAAATAGCATAATTGCACAATATTGTCAAAACCCATGTATACTACAATGCTACAGTTAATGGGTGTTTTCCTACTACTTGGTAACCTGCTAAGGGAGATAGTAGCAAAGCTAGGGGAGAAAACCCATTTAGAGTACTGTAGTGGCTGGTGGCCCAAAGATCAGAACTACACAATTCTGCATGGAGTTGCAACAGAAGCAGGGAAAAGGGTCTGATATGGGCAGTCCATTTTATGCTAACATTTTGTATTGACAGCTTTTGCTTTGTCAATAATAGGGGAAAAATATAGTAAGACAGACAGAACTTTATTTCAATCATTGACTAATAAAAGTAGAGTCAATAAAACGAACAACACAAAATGTTCATTTTAGGGGTAACACTAGTTGTGTTTTTCCCAGCTCAAAATGGAAATATTTTGATCCTTCAATTTCAACAACTGCAGGCAGAATTCAAAAGGCCACAAAAGTTGTTCAGAGGCAATGGACTGGTGGTAGGATTGTGGATTGCTCACCCTTACTGAAACTCACCTTATAAAATAGAACAAAAGTATACTTGAGGTATCTCCATTAACAACTGAAATGAAGTAGATATAGAGATTTAAAACCCCAGAAAGATGCAAGGTAATTTATCTTCCACTATCTTACAAAGTATTAATGCTCGTTAATCGAGGTTTCCATTTCTCTCAGGGCAAATAGATACCCATCAAAATATCACTGGATAAAACTGAGGAAAAGAAAATCCAAATCAGATATTGTTTCAGTCAGATTCTTCTCTACAGATTTAAAGAGATATTTCCCTTATAGTGAAATTTTAGTTTTTTACAGATTAGGTGCTATTAGGTGTTATTTTCAGCCCTTAACTGGATGGAAAGAAGGCCTTTACTGCATTATGTGATTGTGGTTTTGTGTGAATTACAGTAACACATTTTGGAGAAGTAGCACCACTTTCACATGCTATTTTTATAATAAGAATGTCAATATGCAGAGTTTCCTGTTTATCATTAGTTGAATTGCTATATTATTACTTCTAGATTGCTGATTTTCATGTTATATTATTTAATTAAAAAGCAATCAGCATACTCAACTAATGCTATCCAACCTATTGTGTGCATCCTGAGTCTTAGAGTGACTTTTCTTGAAAGACTATCATATACATCTGTTGAAGGAAAAATCTTCACCAGGGTCCAGTCCAAGCCGGGAATAATCAAAATGGAGACTGCTTTAGAAAGAACATTGCAGTTTATTGAAGAGGAGAGCCAGACAGAAAGATGGCTTTGGGGGAAAAATGACCACATGTGGCAGGGAGTGGTGGGCTTTTATACCTCCTTTGGGCTTTGTATTTGGAGTTCTTCCTGTGGTATGAACTTTGACCTGAGTCTGAGTGTGCCTTTCTGGTATTCTGATGGTCGTGGGTTAATCCTATTACTCCCAAAGATCATATCCTGCTTCCCTGGAGCTGTTGCTGATGACTGTTGGATTTTTTGTGTGAGGGATTGTTGATTCTAGGGATCTTTCTTTCTAATCCAAGCTTCCTAGCTCCAATCTTTCTGACAAGATTATCACATCTGCATTTCTGCAGATCTGGTTTCTGTTTGGGGCAGAGAGACTAGACTTGGGGGGAAGGGTTGGTTTCTGCCTTTAAAATCCTTTGGGGAAATATATTCTGCCTTTTTAATATTTCCCAAAATATTTCTTTTTCTGGATTCTTCCACACATCGATATCGAGGAGGGTGACTTTCCTTGGAAGAAAATCACTAAACGTATATGGCATTTCTTTTAACATTTATACAGTATGATTATACATGTGCATGCACAGTATTTATAATGCAGATAGTATTTTGCCAGTCAGTTTGTATTACTGCCTGTCATTTCTTGTTTGATAATGCCCTTTGACTTCCAACAGCATCTTAGATTTGTTTCAATATGACATGCATATTCATACATATATGGAGATAACAACAACAGAATAACAGAGTTGGAAGGGACCTTGGAGGTCTTCTACTCCAACCCCCTGCTCCAGCAGGAGACCCTATACCAGGGGTAGGCAACCTTGGCTCTTTTATGACTCATGGACTTCAACTCCCAGAATTCCTGAGCCAGCTATGCTGGCTCAGGAATTCTGGGAGTTGGAGTCCATGAATCATAAAAGAGCCACGGTTGCCTACCCCTGCCCTATACCATTTCAGATAAATGTTTGTCCAGTCTCTTTTTTAAAGCCTCCAGTGTTGGAGCACCCACAAGTTGTTCCACTGATTAATTGTTCTGTCAGGAAATTTCTCCTTAATTCTAGGTTGCTTCTTTCTTTGGTTAGTTTCCATCCGTTGCTTCTTGTCCTGCCTTCAGGCGCTTTGGAGAATAGCTTGACTCCCTCTTCTTTGTGGCAGCTCCTGAGATACTGGAACACTTCATGTGGTCTTGATCAGATTGGGGTCATCTAGTCCAACCCCCTGCTCGGGCAGGAAACCCTATACCATTTCAGACAAATGGCTATCCAGTCTCTTCTTAAAAACCTCCAGTATTGGAGCATTCACCACTTCTGGAGGCAGGTTGTTCCACTGGTTAATTGTTCTCACTGTCAGGAAGTTTCTCCTTAGTTCTAGATTGCTTCTCTCTCTGATTATTTTCCATCCGTTGCTTCTTGTCCTGCCTTCAGGTGCTTTGGAGAATAGCTTGACTCCCTCTTCTTTGGGGTAGCCCCTCAAATATTGGAACACTGCTATCATGTCACCCCTAGTCCTTCTTTTCACTAGACATACCCAATAATTCCTTTACTATTATTACTGTTATAATATTTTAATCCCCCCTTTTATGTATATTGGTTATCTCAATGAAGCAAACATACCAAATACTTCTGCGTTCTGTTTTCCCATCACAACCCTGCAGAATGAACTAGGCTGAGAGTGGCATTTCTTCAGTTCTGCAACATTTCTATAGTTCTATACATTAATTTGTGATGCTATCCGCTCCGAATAGGGGGTTGGAATAGATAACCTCTGGGGTAAATCTCAACTTTGTGATTCTATGTATTAGCATTTCTGCAAAAGCGATAGCCGCATCACAAATGAGCTCCATATATCGGCCAAAGAGGCCACAATTCCAGAAACACTTAATTCCAACAACTGCCTGAAAATTAATTTAATCTGTCCCTTTTTCATTAGGCAGGGAGCCTAGACTTATCTGAAGAAACCTCTTCTGCCTCCAAGGAACACTAATTATGGGGGAATTCTTTGTCCTTTCCTTGGTGAAAATACCTTCTCTATCTATATAAATAAAAATGTAAATGTTCGTTTGTTCAAAATCTTAAATCTCCGAAAGTTCTTCACCGATTGCTTTGAAATTTTGGCACAACGTTGCATTCGAATACATGCGTGTTTTTATATACCTATATTATATAGATGTCACACCTGTGACAGGTAAAACATGCTTTTTTGAAAAACAGTGCCATCTGTTGGACATAAAAGCAACACACGCTTTTACCAGACTGAGCCACAGCAACGCGTGGCCAGGTACAGCTAGTAAACTTATAAAATAAACTGCATTGCTGTCTTCTTCCCTTGAAAAACCTTTTCCTCTTAAATCATGTCTTTAAGGTTGTAAATAGACCAGCGTTTCTCAACCTTGGCAACTGTTAAGAAGTGTGGACTTCAATTCCCAGAATTCCTCAGCCAGCTATGCTAGGCTAGGGAATTCTGGGAACTGAAGTCTATGTATCTTAAGGTTGCTAAGGTGGAGAAACACTGTAATACAGATAATGATTGACTTACAAACACAATTGGGACAAGAATTTCCATTGCTGAACAAATTGGTTGTTAAGCGAGTCGTACCCAATCTTATGACTTTTGTAAACCCAGCACATTTTACAGGCCTGACCCAAAATAATGCCTCCCACACAGAGCAGATGAGAAGACAAGAATGGGAGGCAGATAATTTGTTGACATTCAGTGGATCTTCATCTGACAAATCCTGAATTTTTTCCCCAAAATAGAATAGTATATTTAGAAAAAGGCAATAAGCTGTCCATTTTCCAGACATAACTTCTACTAATTAAAAAAATGTATATTTATTCATCTCAGAAAAAAACACCCCTGGGTTGTTTCCAGGAGACTGCTGGCTAAACCTGCCTAGGATTAAAAACTGAACAGAGGAATGCAGGGTATGACTTCTGAGAAGTAAACTTCACGGACTAGGGTAGAATTTACTCCCAAGTAAGCCTTATGCGATTCAGAAGAGGGTTAGCAATCCTAACGGAGGAGGAGGGCGCTGGAGACTGAAGCAATCGTTTCCCATAGGTTTTGCAAGCCAGGCTGGCCACTCCTCAGGAAGATCTTGGGCGCCGGGCTACCAAGTTCCGCAACGGCGGCTGCAAGAGGACCGTTAGTGCGCGCGCAGTTTCTCGCCAGTTCGTCGTAGCCGCGACCATGAGGAGTCTCTGGTGGTGGGGCGCGGCGGAGATGGTGACTGTCCTCTTCCTCGGAGAAGCGAAAAGTAAATTTGCGCCTTTGCCCGACATCACCAACCGTACCTTTATCAAACAATACATCGACATCCACAATAAGTTCCGCAGCGAAGTCAAGCCCTCTGCCTCCAATATGCTCTACATGGTGAGCGGTTCGAAGGCTTGCCGTCGAGTGGGGGGCAGAAAGCTCGGGGGCATTACAGGGGAAAAGGTAGCCAGGCCTCTGAGGAAAAGAGAAGCCTCTGCCTGTTAGCGTGCCGCCGCTTAGACGGGGACCCAGTTACGACACCCAAGTTCGCTGGCGGAGGGTTCTGCTCTTTGGGGCCGAAAGACATTTGGATTGGTGCCTGTGATAGTGGCGAAAGTTTGTGGGACCGTCGAGTTGGAAGAGCTTAACGAGGGGGAGAACGGATATCTCAAGAAAAAAAACAGTTTTTTCCCAGGAGCTTATCTCCATCTAGTTTTGCAGTCCTAGGGGAACAAGCCATGATTCCTGAGCTGTTTTCCATAGGGATTTTTCTGCCTACTTTCACCTAGTGCAGGGGTAGGCAACCTCGGCTCTTTTACGACTCGTGGACTTCGGCTCAGGAATTCTGGGAGTTGAAGTCCACGAGTCATAAAAGAGCCGAGGTTGCCTACCCCTGACCTAGTGCCTATTACTTTTTCCCAAACAAGGGGATGGATGCATCCTTTTCACAAGAATATTTTTTATTGCAGGGGTGTCAAACTGCCGGCCCATGGGCTGGTTTCATCATACCGGAGCCGCGCCCACCCCATTGCCTGCAATGGCAAAAAAGCTCCGATACGTCACTTGACGTCGCGAGTTTGACATGCCTGTTTTATTGTTTGGTTTAATTTATATATATATTTTATTAGTATTTTTGTGTATATATGTGTTGAATTACTTGCAAGCTGCAATTGTATTCTGCAATTTATATAGTAAAAGAGTATATAAATTTAATGAATAAGTATGAGGGCAATTCGAAAATAAACCTCTGTTTGGTTATCAATGACAGACACTTGCAGATACAGAACTTTTATTATACGCATTGGAAAAATACGTTACATTACTTTTTGACATAATCGCCATTCAAATTGAGGTGCTTGTCATAATGTCTTACAAGGTTTGAAATTCCTCAGTAGTAGTTGATCGGCGCCAAATCTGGGCTATGGGGGGGAGGTGATTAAAAACATTCCAACGAACTGCTTCAAAAGTTCTTGAATGCGTCTAGCTAGCGGTGTGTGGGTGAGCATTATCTTGAACCAACACCACACCAGAAGTCAGCATGCCTGGACACTTGTTATGGATGGCTCCTCTGAGTTTTCATAACATTTCACAGTAGACTTCTGAATTGATGGTTGAACCACGCTCCATGAACTTCACTAGCAGTACTCCTTTGGCATCTTCACATTTGGTGGGATTTTCTATGGCAGAACGTCTGGTGTGTTGGTTCACGATAATGCTTGCCCACACACTGCTAGACGCACCCAAGAACTTTTGAAGCAGTTCCGTTGGAATGTTTTTGATCACCCTCCCCCCATAGCCCAGATTTGGCACCAAGCGACTACTAAGGAATTTCAAACCTAGTAAGATGTTACGACAAGTGCCTCAATTTGAATGGGGATTATGTCAAAAAGTAATGTAATGTTGTAGTTTTCTAATGTGAATAATAAAAGTTCTATACCTGCGAGTGTTTGTTATTGATAACCAAACAGAGGTTTATTTCCAAATTGCCCTCGTACAAGAAAATGAATGCGTGTATTTAAGAAAACAAAATGCAAACCATTGCACACAAGGTTTCCATTAGGTAACGATAAGCATCTGATTGTGAATCCTACCAGTGATCCCTAAGCCACATCCAGAAGTTAAAAGTTAAGTCATTAGAAGCATGTAAAAGCATTTAACTTTTAAAAGTGAAGTCATTAAAAACATATCAAAGCAAACAAGTTGCTGGAAGTTTGAAACATTCCCCAATTCTCTCAGAATGTTAACTTTCAAGTGAGCATTGAGTCTGGCTGCTGGACTCCATCAGCAGTCTCAGCCTGAAAAGATTGGTTACTCATCTAATAAATCAGAAGATAAGAAAGGAAATAGTTTCTAAGTTCTGCACTGGGGGGAGTATTCTATATTATGTTGCAGCAACATTTATTTTGCTGATAGTTATTTATAGCTCCCTTCTTTTCATTTTAGGACAAGTTATTTCTGCCCATTGCAGGGACCTTTTAAAGTTGAAAGATAACCTCTAATAAGAAATCTCTCAGTGCACAAATGGATACCAAAACTAGCTATAATGAACAGAACTAAGGCTAGTAGTTAGTTGTATGTAACCCACATTAAAGTTTGCCACTACTGCCGTAGAGGAAGGAAGTTAAAAACACGTGGAATACTCTGTTCCTTAATTTGTATAATTATTACTGTTCTTTCTGCTAATCCACATATCTGCTGGTAACATTGAAATGCATTTTTTAAAAACTATGTCTGGAATATGCAACCTGTGGCAGAAGGAAAGGGTGTGATCTAAGAAAAAGAAAAAGTAATTTCTAACATAGTAATAATTTCTTAGAGGAATTATGATTATCTTGTCCTGGTTCTGGTAGCTTTTTTCTCTATTCCTTTAAAAATGGGAGTTGCCAACATGTGCCACATACAGTAACTCTGGATTTATATACAGTACTAGGTGGTGATAGTTCACAATAATTTTTTTTCACATCTGGTAAGCAGAAAGATATTTTACCTGAACATCTCATGGTGGTTCTTATTCAGATTATGATCCATCAAGATAATTGATCATTTATTTTGAAACCATATTGCTTTGATGTACACTTGCATGTTTTAATGTACTTACATTAATCTCTTTAGATGTATAAAGTGAAGCTTGGAGGAAGCAAAAGTGCAGAAGATCTACACATAATTAAGTAAACTTTGTGTTAATTCTGATTTACCGAGAGGTAGGGTAAGAATAGAAAGTTGAGAAGAATATCTTGGAAAAAGATATAGCTGATCAGTTATAAAATCAATCTACATTGCAACAGTTTGTTGGACAACCATCCTATTAAATCTTCACTGGAGACTATTCTGCTTCAATATGTAATCAGTATCCACATGTGATTCAAAGCTTATGTATAATGTTTTTCTTGCACATATATTAAAATTATAAATTTTATTTTTATAGTTATAATTATAGTTATAGTTTTAAAAATGCAAAACCAACTTTTTATACAGACATTACAAGTAAGTAAGAATCATCTCTGAAAATGTTTTAGATGTTATATCTTCTGGAAAATTCCAGATTTTAATAAAATAATTTGCTTTATATGAACTACATGCATAGAAACCTATCAGTATTTTGATGGGTCTCAGTTTGATATTTGTGCACTTATTAGAGGGAGATAAATATGACTAAAAGCTTAACTGATAATTTTATCTTTTGCAGACATTTGATTTAGCTTTAGCTAGAATTGCTAGAGCATGGGCAAATAAATGTGTTTGGAAACATAATCCTAATCAAAGGTACCATCCTGATCGTAAATTTAAGCCAACTGGAGAAAATATGTGGTTGGGAGGTGCAAGCCGAAATCCATTTAATGTATTTAATCCAATTACAGCATTTCACAATGAGGTAAACTACTACACTTTCTCTACCCATCAGTGCACCAAAGTATGTGGACATTATACCCAGGTAAGATGTGTACTTTTGTGTTCACATAGTCCATTGTGATAGTAAATTATGAAGTACTGATTACAGCTGCTTAGTATGTGAAGTTATTGTGTAAGATTGCTTATTTACAAACAAATAATGGTAAAAGGCAACTGAGAAATTAAAAAAGGAAAAAAATTAATTTCACCTGTAAATATTTGTTTATGCCACCTAATGACTCCAAACTAAAAACAATATTAAGAGAGAACAAACAATAGAACCAGACCTTAACAAAGAAAAAGAAAAAGAAAGATGAGCAAAATGGTAAACAAAGATGGGATCAACCACCTAATCAAGATCTAAGAGAACAGTCAAGTCTGTATGGTTTTTTGGAACACCAACAAGGAGGGAATCATCCAAATCTCAGTGAGTATCTCATTTCATAACACAAGTGCTGCAACAGAGAAGGGTGCTTGCTGGGATCAGATAGATGACATTGTTTAATTGAAGGTCCCCAGAGTGCATCAACACTATTAGTTTTAATTGGCCAGACAGACACCACAGGAGATAGGCAGTCCCTCAAATAACCAGGTCCTATACCATGTAGCACTTAATAGGTGATAACCAGTACCTTGAAGCAAATTGGCATCCAGTGCAAGTTATTGAGCAGAGATGTTACGTAGTCATGTGGCATGTCCATAACTGCTCACACTGTTGTAGTTGTGGACCTGCTGCTTTTGAGGCAGCATAGTATAGAGTGTGGTGCAATAGTCAAGACATGAGTGGCTGTCTGAAGGGCCTTCCAATTGAGGAAAGGCTACAACTGCTGCATTAGATGAAGCTGAACAAAGACTTTTCTAAAGATCTTTAGATTTCATCCCAGCCTTGAATGGAGAACCCCATCCAAGTTCAGAGATGAAATAACTCGGAACCAGGTGGTCCTGGAAACCTAACCACTTCTTGGTAGGATTCAATCAGAGAGTTTTCCGCATTCTACATGCCTTTATATCCTGGAACAGAACATCAAAAAGTCTCAGTCAGCAATTATAATTGCTTATTGTCAAGTAAACCAGACTGAGAATCAACTCCACAGGAAGGCTACAACTCCTTTTATTGAGATTGGCTATAATAACAGAATCTTGGAAGTCTGGCTGTGCTATGTCTGTTTTAGCTATTTGTGCATACATTACATTGTTTTGGATTTAAGCCATGTCTCTCCTTATGGCTTTGGCTAACGGATTTAGCCTTATTTTTGTCAAAGTCATTGTCTTTATTCTCTCTAGTTATCATCAGCACATTGATGATACTAAACCCCAGAGTGATGTAGGATATCACACAGTGGGTTCATGTTGATGTTGAATAGAAAGAGAGAGAAAGTTGAACCTTGTGGCACCCTAATTGAAGAGGGGCCTAGAACAGTGATGGCGAACCTTTTAGAGACCGAGTGCCCAAAAAATGGCCCCGCCTGCCCCCGTTCCACTCCTGCTCTGCCCCACCCCACCTGCTCTGCCCCCACTCCGGCCCCACCCACCCACAGGGTCACCCACTGCCTCCACAAATTGTCCAGGCAGCCCAGTAGCACCATGGCAGCCATGCCCTCTGCCCGCGTCCTGTAGCATCATCTGCATTCGACGGGCACGAGGGCGGAGTCTTGTCCCCGCTGCCCGGCTGCCATGTCCTTGGCTGCGCTGCTCCTCCTGGGCTGTGCTCAGGGGCGACTCTCCTATGGGGGGGGCTGCTGGTGAGGAGGGGACCACAGGGAGAGGTGGGGCTGGAGCGATGGCACGAGTGCCCAGAGAGAGGGCCCTGAGTGCCGCCTGTGGCACTCGTGCCATAGGTTCACCACCACTGGCCTAGAAAATGACCTTTCTCCCCAAACAGCATCAACAGAATTGTCCCTGAAGAAAACAAGAGAATAACTGTAAAATAGTGCCACCCCTTTGCAATATCTGAAGCCAGTCCAGAAGGATACCATGGTCGATGGTATCAAAAGCCTCTGAGAAATCAAGGAGCAGAAGAATGGATGTACCACTCTCATTGCAGATTTGCCAGTGGTCTACAAACAATCAAGGCGGTTTCTTATCAAATCCTGGCCTGAAACCCAACTCAAACGGGTCTAGATAATCCACTTTCTCCAGAGTTCTGGAGTTTCTGGACTGCAGCTACAGTCTGACCAAAAGGGAAGGTTGGAAACAAATTGGTTTTGATTTTGGGAGGCATACTGCGTACTATCTCTCCTACAAACAGTGAGGCATCATAGCATGGACCCAGTTACAGATCATCTCCTTGGTTGCTTTGACAATGTGGGAGGGGCCCAAATGCAGCACATGGGTGGCTAAACTAACAGCACAAAGAATCCTGAGCCAAGGCCTCAGCTGAGCTGCCTGGTATACATCCTTGGAAAACCCTCAAGCATTTGGAACCATATAGCGTTCATCAATTGCTTGGAACATTCTGATTGAATAGATCTTGTCTCCCTATAGTAAATGTGGCACCAATAAGACAAAGTAAACAAAGTGGTCTGTCAATGGCAATGGATTGGTATTAATGTCCTTTGCTACCACATCAGTTACAAGTTTTTCAAGACATAATTTAAAAAAACAGATCTGACATGCAACCCCTGGTATGTGTTGGGCCATCAGAAACAAATTCATGGCACTATTCCAGACTTTACACAACTAGGTGGCAGATTAAAATCTCATATACTCTTACCACCAGCCTAAGAATGGAACCCAGCAGGCCAAACGGGAGCGGGGGGGGGGGGCAATTCAAGTGTAGTACAGCCTGACTGAAATATTTTGATGTTAACACTTAAAGAAGGACTGTTTTGTTTCAATCTCAAAACAGTACAGGTAGTCCTAGACTTAAAACAGTTCATTTAGTGATTGTTCAAAGTTACGATGATACTGAAAAAAGTGACATGACCATTTTTCAAACATATGACAGTTGCAACATCCCCAAAGTTACATGATCAAAATTCGGGTACATGGCAACTGACTCATATTTATGACAGTTGCAGTGTCCCAGGGTCATGTGATCAGCTTTTGCAATCTTCTGACAAGCAAAGTCAATGGGGAAGCCATATTCACTTAACAACCATGTTACTAGCTTAACAATTGCAATGATTAACAATTGTGGCAAGAAAGATTGTAAAATGGAGCAAAACTCACCTAATAAACATAACTTTTGCGCTCAATTGTGGTTGTAAATTGAAGACTACCTGTATTTTGTTTTAGGCAAATTTTAACGTAATTAACTCCCTCTTTGAGGAAGATGGGTGGTTTAGAAATGTGAAAAATAAATATTGGCCAAATGCAGATCAAAACAGAAAGAGATTGGAGAGAAACTGACATTCAAAACAGGTGTTCTTCCTTTTTCAGGTAGTTTGGGCTGCTTCATACAAAGTTGGCTGTGCTGTTGTTTACTGCCGTTACATGGATGGAAAGGAAAAAAATAATAACATTTTAGTGTGCAATTATGCTCCAGCGTAAGTTAACACATATTAAAGAAATCTGAAATTGTGTTCATGCATTTACATATATTATTTTAAACAATTTATTTTCAATTAGTTTGCTGTCCGTAACAACTTTAAATGTTATAATTTGACATACATTTTTATTAACTTTATTAAAAAAATCAGCTGGTGAGTTACAAGGAAACTACATAGAAAATTTTCAAACCATGCAAGAACATGACTAGAAATATATTTAGTTACTAGACAATCCATGAAAGAATGGGGAGGAGGGCAAAAATGATTGGAGCAATTTCCTGCCTCTTTTCTTCCCCCTTCCCTCCCTCTCTTTCACCATTCCTTTTCCCATCCCTCAAGAGATGCTAGATGTGTCAAGGAAGCCACATGGAGGGCAGTGCAGGTCAAGCAAGGCACAAAGTGGCAGCACAGACAGGAATGCACTGGGTGTGGCATGGGCACTGTGTGGAACTTCCTTCATTTTCAACAGGTGGCTGGTGCTGGGTGGTAAAGGGAGCAAAGGATTGCAAGACTGGCTGGGAAATTCACAGAATGTTGGAAATGAAGGTCATGTGACTGCAGTAGCAGTTCACCTGCACAACAGCCTTCCTTTGGGAGGAAGGTAATACAACCATATCTTGGATGTATTCTGTAAATTAGCCCATTTGAGGTACCTTCCTCTAGTCTATGATACACTGTTTCATCCAGTTAACGGTCATGACAATTAGATTTTTAGTAGTATATAGATTTCAAAGCTACGTATTAACTTTATATAAATGTATAAGTAAATGTAATCTCTTTGTTAGAGGCCACATGTCAATGGTATATTGTATTTTATATAGAAGAACCCAATTGCTAGCACAGGTAGTCCCTAGGATCATTTGTTTAATGGCAGTTTAAAGTTACTGAGGTGCTGAAAAAACTTATTTATGAACCATCATTGTACTTAACAAACGTTGCATCATCCCCAAGTCATGTGACTGCGATTTGGTCACTTGACAATCAGTTTGCATTTATGATGGTTGCAGTGTCATGTGATTGTGATTTGTGACCTTTCCAACCAGCTTCTGACAAAATCAGTAGGAAAAGCTGGATTCACTTAATGATGTGGTGATTCACTTAATGAAAAATAGGTGTAAAATCAGGTCCAGTCACATAACTCATTTAACCATTGAGAAATTCTGGTTCCAATTCTAGTTATAAGTCAAGGACTACTTGTATGCAAAAATTACTAAAAGTAAATCTCCTAGTTCTGTGAATTAGTTGAAAAAACTTTTTCTTTATTTACTCTGAATATACTGTTAGGCAGCTTCATGCATCTCATAAATAAATTTATGTTCTGGAAAAAAGGTGGCAAGATAAATGTCATTAGTATTTTTTTTAACTCCAAAATTTACTTGAATTGTTTTGCAATTTTATTCTGTAAACCCTTTCGTACTGTTAAAAAAAGAAAAGTTCCTATTTTATAAATTATAAAACTAGATTTGATCCTGTCAGATTTTCTATCTATCACATTTTTGCCTAGCTGGTGCAATTTTCAATTGTTCCAAGGGGGAGGAAAATATGCAGTTTTGATGGTGGAAAAAGATATGCAAATAATCTTATCCAATTTGCCCACCAAGCATTTGATGGTGTGAACAAGTACAATTAAATATATTTACATCTCCATCACAATTTACATCTCTCCATTGAAAAGTGTTTTTAAGACAGGGGTCCCCAAGCTGTGGGCCACGGCCCACTGTCGGGCCATGGCTGTTGGCCACTGGGCTGGGTGAGTGGCTGGCCAGTGCATGCACGTGTGCATACTTGCACACACACCCACTCACGCCAGCGTTGCAGCATCACGCAGGTGCTAGCATCGCCACAAGTGCACCTCCCATTCATGCTAACATCACAGCATTGTGCCAGAGTTAGTGATACCATGAGCATCGTGCAGACGTTAGCGTCGCTGCAAGTGGACACTCCTCCCACTCGCGCTAGCATCGTGGCATCACATGGGCGCTAGCGTTGCTCAGGCGCTTGTGGCCGTTTGCGTCATGCTCGCAATCGCAGGCCGTTAGTGCATGTAAAGGTGCCTCAACAACAACACCCCCGCCCCGGGCCGCCAACCCAGAAAGGTTGGGGACCCCTCTTTTAAGCTATGGAAAGAATCAGCTGGCAATAGAATAGATGAGGTCTTGGTTTATGAAATAAAGAGATTAAACTTTCCAACCTTCCCCCTGGACATTGTGCAGCACAAAAAAGGAAAGCATCAGGGAGCCTGTTGTGAAGAAAAGGATGAGCTATAAGATTGCAAAGGTAGGTAGATTATGGAAATTGGAGAGTAGAAGAACAAAGTGAATGCTACCCCAACTCTTATATTCAGTGCTCAGGTCATTTATTATGCCTTTCAATCTTAGTCAAAGAAGCAGAGCAAGTAGGCCGTATCTTAATAGAAAATTTGAAAAACTAGATATTTTTGGCTTTCAACTTCTATTACTAATGGCACTTCTGTAGAATAGGGGAGGTCATGGAAGGAGAACTACAAAGAGCAGAGTCTGTAACATTGTCATATTTCTGGTGGAGGGAGTATATTTCAGAACATGTTAGATTGACTCCTGTTTAGTACAAGAATCCAAATGAAATAATTCGCAATCATGGCTTTCTTTTGCTTAAAGACAAGACAGTGGTGAGTCCTCTGTCACATAAATTGTCCCATGTGACAATGTGGTACTAACACAATTGAAATAGATTTAATCCCGATATAGATTCTTTTAAAAGATGTTAAAACTTTTGTGAAGAATAAAAACATCTAGAATTCATTCTGATTAATTTTCATGTGAAGCTATTAACTCATACACACACACGGGCATACATACATACATACATACATACATACATACATACATACATACATAAATATATGCACTTTAATTTGTACTTCTGATTTATTGTTACATTTTCTTCCATTACACAAAATTATGAGATATAAATATTTGCAAAACTGGACATACTTTATTTGCATTGCTAACAGAATAGCAGAATAGAATGCATCTATTATTAGGATTACTACTCTTAAGGTCGGTCAGTCCATCTATCTTATTTATTTATTTATTTATTCTTTATTTAATTTATTGGGTACCCATCTTATCATAGGGTAACTAGGCAGCTTACAGTTACATCTAAGTTAAAACATAAAAGGTTAAAATCAAACTTAAAATCAAAAACACATGGGGAGGGTGGGGGCAGAGTGGGGGGTGGGTGGGATCTGTTATTAATCAACCACTTCCCTCAAGCTGACTGGCACAGCCGTGTCTAGGCCCTTAAGAAAAGATAGGAGGGTTGGGGCCCAGCTCACGGGGGGGGGGGAGATGTTCCAGAGGGCAGGAGCAACAGCAGAGAAGGCCCTCCTGAACCCTGCCAGCTGGAATAATTGGGCTGACCCGCAGCATACCTCCTCTGCCGGATGAGTGGTACAGGCCAATCTTAGTGGGGTGAGACAATTCCTCAAGCAACCTGGACCTATGCCATGAAGGACTTTAAAGGTGATCACCAACACTTTAAATTGCACCCGGAAGCAGACTGGTAACCAATGCAACTCGGGGAGCAGTGGTATTACAGGAGCCATTCTCTAATTCATATGTTGCACTGAGCCAGCAAGAACTGTGTACTCATAGGAAAAGTTCTGCATGATTATTTTTTTAATATACAATAAGGGGATTTGCACAATTTCAAATTTAGGTTATGTGTTGGAGCTGCTCAGTCATCCAGGTCATGGTTGTCCCAAAGGTGTTTTTTCAAGAGGCAAGTGGACTTCCTTATTTTTCTTTGAAGACGTTTCGCTTCTCATCCAAAAAGCTGCTTCAGTTCTGACTGGATGGTGGGGAATGGAAGGATTTATATCAGGACAAGATTCAGCAGTCTATCTGCATTTAAAAAACAGGCCACTCTTTTGAAGTTAGCAAAGTCCACATTTTGGACAGAGGACTGCTGGTTTGAAGGAGGGATCAAAGAGGCTATGTCAAAAGTGAACAGCCCTCTCAACAGAGGGGGAGGGATACGACATCTATCTCAAGTCTACAACACAGTCCTTTCAGCAGTTCTAAGGAGGCTCCAAACCCACTTGCACTACTCAGGTGACACTGAGGACACAGATAAACCTCCAAGTGGCCTCAATGACTAAAAGAATGCAAATGACCAGATGTCTGCAAAGAATATAAACCCATCCATTCCCCATCATGCAGTCAGAGCTGAAGAAGCTTCTTGATGAGAAGCAAAACATCTTTAAAGAAAAGTAAAGTCCAGTTGCCTCTTGAAAAAGCACTTTGGGGACACCTGGGCATAAGTGCATCTGTTATTCTGAAAAACGTTAAACATGGAGTCACTTAATTGTTATTTTTTTAATAATAAAAAAATCAGATTATTTTCAAGGATTATGAGATTTTAGCATTGTTACCACAAAAGATAATTGAAATTCTGTAACAAGTATCATGAGATCCAAAACTTGTTCAAGATTTTGCACAGCATTTTGACTTGGTATCTTCAGGTAAGGTCATTGACATTTTCAGCTGAATTTTCAGTTTAGCTTTGTCTACTTAAAAATATTTGGTATGATTAAGAATATATTCATCCACTGTTTTTTAGAGGCAATTACCGTGGAGTACGCCCTTATAAAGAGGGAAAACCATGCAGTAACTGTCCAGAAGGAGACACTTGTAAAGACAACCTCTGTAGTGAGTACAAATCTGAATAAAATAGTAGTTCCAGGAGGGAAAAAAATGATCATATTACAGTTCATTAAAATTATTTTGATTTTCAGTCTTTTCAGATTTTATTTTGGTAGAGCAGTGGTATTTTTTTCTCCTTTTGGGGAAAAAAAAGAGGTACATGGGGTTTCTTTCCATTGCCCAAATGAGTATCATAGAAATAGGAGTAAACATTCCATTATAATCAATTTGATTCCATTATAATCAATTTGTTTATCAAGAGAAAATATTCTAAAAGCTTTAACTGACTTGTCTGAACCTTGTTTGTTTTTAAAAACAGGAAATCCTGAACGTGAGAAAGAAAACAGCATTCGTATGTATTACAATTGCCTTTTATGTTTTAAACTTACTTTTAAAAGAGGATCATTACATTCCCTCTCTTGTTTTTTTAACCTAGGTTATTCACGATGGTATCCACCATTTGAAAGTCGGATTATATGTGATCCATCTTGCATTGCTGTTGCAGTTTTAAGACCATTGTTAATGTTTTTGGCATTTGCTGTTGTTTATTACTTACAAATCTGTTATCCAGGTTTAAATTTTTCTAAATAATCTTCAGTATTTTGTATGCATAAAACTTTCTTTGACTACTTTTGTTAATTATAAGATTATATTTACATGAATTGTTACATTATTTTCCTGTTCTATCTTTTAAAAGTAGATTTGGTTCAATTCATTGTTTTTATGGAATTTTGTCAAACAAATTCTTAATGTTTTTTAATTTTGGTTACTGTACTAATACAGTACTGTATAACTGTACTAATAAAGTTCCTTTTTTGTTCAGATGATACTAATATAAAACAAAATATATTTAATATGTTCCATGTTTTGTAAACATTAAAATAAGGGAGTTGTGATTAATAAATATTAATATGATAAATTGCACATACCTTCTGTATATGTTAAACTCCGTTTAACTCAACTATGTATGATTGCACCAGCAGTCATGCTCAGAAGGCACTTATATATGATTATTGAATAGGACACAATTGTATGGCTCATGATTGCTCCAGCACTGCATTTAGATCTAGCAAAGGCGCATGGTCAGGACGCAGTAATTTAACAATAGCAATAGCACTTAGCCTTATATACTGCTTCATATGCTTTACAGCCGAGGTCCCCAACCTTTTGGGCACCAGGGACTGGTTCCATGGAGAAAGGTTTTTCCGTGGACTGGAGAGTGTGTGGTTTTGTGTGCTGCCTGCATCCCACGGATGGGGCTTTGCTTGTTTGTGCGGACCGGTTGTTAGCATGCCACAGACTGGTATTTGTTCACAGACCGGAGGTTGGGGACCCCTGCTTTACAGCATTCTCTAAGCATTTTACAGAGTCAGCAATTGTTCCTAACAATCTGGGTTCTCATTTTACTGACCTTGAAAGGATGGAAGGCTAAGTGAACCTTGAGCCAGTGAGGATCGAACTCCTGGCAGTCAGCAGAACTAGTCTGTAATACTACATGCTAATCACTTTACCACCATGGCTCTAGATTACTGTACTAATACAGTACTGTATTACTGTACTGTACTAATAAAGTTCCTCATATTGACGAAAAGTTTGATAAAAACAGTATTAGCATTCTGAATTATACTCTGCATACCATATGCACATACATTTGTTGCTCCTATTCATACCACAACTAGAATGTGGTTCCCTATCCTCTCATTACATATAGTCTATACTAACTGAAATTATTGCAAATAGTGCAGTTGGCATGTAAGGTCTATAATGCTAAAGATGAAATGTGGCTGATTTCTCGGTTTGTTAAATATCAGTCTAAATTATGGTCTGTTTCTATAATGCAATGCAAAATATTTGATAGAAAACATAGGCTTGCATTTTTTGTATAATGATTTTACCATGTTTTCCCTATATATATACAGCCTCTATTCTGGCTGACCACAATGAATTAAAAGGAAAGAATAATAACATCCTAACAGCCAAAATTCTCTGGGTCATTTACAATAAAATTATCCATCTTCAATAAAACAGTTCTATCTTGATTATATGGCTAATACCAGTAAACAAAAATATCTATGGCTATTTTTTTAAAGGAGCTGAAACATCAAACAAAAACTGTAGAAAGCTAGGATAAAGCGTGAAAAATTAACATTTGATCAGAGAACAAACAGATGCCATGAGTTATGGAGTACAGATAGCCCTTGTTTAGCGGCCACAATTAGGACCAGCAACTTAGTTACTAAATGATACAATCATTAAGTAAAAGATAATGTGACCATGACTGTGCTTATGATTTTATTTCAGCTTTTCTTTTCCCTACTCCATCACTTTTTGGAATGCTCATCCCTAGCTGTGATAATTACCAATAAAGGAATTAATACTTATTTTTACACTCATTGGAGAAGAAGGAATTACAAGAGAGTAAGCAGGCACACTATGGGGAATATACATCAAAAGGAATGCGGTAGTGCTGCTGTTTGCCTAGTATGTTTGCAGCTTCAATTTTCCAGTTTATATCCTTCCGGGTATTTCCAAAGGGACTTTGAATTGATGGTATTTCATGGTCTCAGCTATATTCAGGAAATAAGCTGAGAAATAAAATATTGGAATTTGCAGGTAGTCTATTTTCCCATTTGCAAGAACTCTTTGTTTCTTTATGGTTTCTAGGGTTAAGACATTTCAAGGACAAAGGTGAAAGACCTTTTTCAAAGCTCGCTAGAATTGAGAGGGTTGGCATATGATCAAGTAAAAACATGCAAAAAGATATAGGTGGAGGAGATGTAACCAATTTATTTTTCCATGTGGAGTAAGAAGACAGGACCTCTGGTATCAGACTGCAATTTTTGTTCTTATTTTTCAGTAGAGTAACAAACTTGAGAAGTTGGTACCTTCATATGAAGGAGATGTGGTAGCAGCTGGAAGTTCCATATAATGATTCATAATGAATATTTGCCCAACTGAATATTTGATAGATTGTGTGCATCACATTTGTATTTATTCTTACAACCAAATAGAAGGGCCTTTTCCAGGATGATTTGATCCCAACCTGGCTTTTTAAGTCTATCAACAGTGTACCCATTGCCATTCAAATCCGTTCCATTTACCTAACTGCTGTTCATTCTTTTCTTTTCTTTTTCTTCCATTCATCCCAGCATCATGGATTTCTAAAAGGAGATGGGTCTTTATATAATGTGAGCCTGCTCATTTATGCCTCAAATGAGGACTTATGATCACTTTCCCCCCCTTTTTTTGACTATTCATAGTATTCCTGGGAAACTTGTCTAGTACCAAACTTCAAAACTATTTTAATATTCTCACTGTCAATTCTAAAACTGATTACTATATTTCTTGCTATTACAGATAGTCCTTAACCTATGAGTACAATTGAGCCCAAAATTTCTGTTGCTAAGCAAGACAGTTGTTAAGTTTTGTCCCATTTTATGACCTTTCTTGCCACAGTTGTTAACTGAATTTGGCTTCCCATCGACTCTGCTTCTCAGAAGTTTACAAAAGATGACCCCAGGATAAGTAGATAATGTAGGGTAATGAGAAGCATAATTGCTTTATGAATAGACTCTGAATGGCTCCTAATCAATTTCTGTTTTCTTAATAACTTTAATAACTTTGTCTGCTCTATTTATTGTAAAGAAATAAACATAATACAGCAACAGTTAAAACTCTTGATTCAAACAAAAAATCTTACTGGGGAAATTCATGAATGCTGTTCAAGGTCATTTAATAGCCTCTTCAGTATCAGTTTGATCTGGAAGCAATTAGTGAACATGGAAACAGTAATATGATAATTGAACCAGCAACCAAGATATTGACTGGGACTTTATATCTGAATAAAGAACATTGGTGAGGGATGGACATTGTCACGTAAATACAGTGCTGTGTAATTTTTGTAATACATCTGATAGAAACTTACTTATCCCAAACCATGGGATAGCAAAGAAGTAAACCTAACTTCACTGGGCAGCTTTTTTGACAGGCATTCTGAGCAAGCCAAGAAAAAAACAAATGTGGAAAAATTCTGAGGAAAAAGAATAATTTTTTTTGCAGGATAAATTGAAAAATAGAAATTCAGTATTTTTTTTATTCTGATAATATATTGTTTATATACTTGGAGGAAAAATTATGTCTACAACCCAGTAGATATTTTGTCGTGAGCAGATACCATTCTAAATTAGAATGGTTCTAGGCTAGAATTCATCAGGATTTGGTTAAATAGCAAACAACAATTAATTCATTGGTCAAACAACTCTCCTTTTGTGTGTGTCTCTGTGTGTGTTTCATTATCTTTTCTGTTTACTTATTTTCTGACTGTTGATGCAATTTTTTCCAGCTACTATATAACTTTTAAACCTACCTTGGCAAATGTAGAAAAACTCCATGGTCCCAGTATGGCAAGAATTGATTCATTACAATTGGTAGAAATACAGGACAATTATTGTATTTATGTATGTAATGTTATTTATTTGTTTTGTTTTGTTTTCTTCTACTGATAAGATCTGGCTTCTTAAATCATTGAAGTTCCTGACATTTAATTTTAAGTTTGGATTTCAACACTTAATGCAAACCATAAAAAACAGCAGTGAATATTTTAAAATTAGTCCACTTGCCAATATAAATCAAAGGACACTTTATGTTCCTTCATTACTTAAGATTTACATACAAGAGAGTGTAAGAAAAGGAGCAATTCAGTGGGTGAAAGTGACTCATCACTAGGCTTTGCCTTGAAGGTATTTGCTCAATTCATTTCCGGGTGCCTCTAATCGTTAGCAGCGGAACCAAAGAAGATAAAATAAAAGCCAAGTAGAAGTTGTCAAACAGAATAGCCTAAGGGACTTTGTTTACAACTTGGCTTATGTTTAAAATATTTTGGCTCATTGTGTAGCAGTCCAGAATGACAGAAAAAAGCCTGATCTTTGGTGTTTTATTGTTCCTGAAACTACAAGTGTGCTGTTGTTTTTATACCCAACATACCTTACCGGATATTGAAAATGCACAATTTATGGAAGAATGTGTCAGAATGCATAATAGATTCCGATCCAGTGTGGACCCACCGGCTAGCAACATGAAACGGATGGTAAGGGAATCATCATAATGTGTAGCAATGATAAATGTACAATTCATACTTCTTGTAGATTTAGAATTGACTTAGATATTTCTAGTTCTTTTAAGAGGATTTTGCTATGCTGAAACTAATTCACTGACAAGGTTTGCTACTGATTCTGCTTTTGAAGCTTTGGAAATTTTGAGCCGGTATAGCAAACATCAACTCCAAATGGAAGCTATGAGGACTCCTACTTTTGGCAAAATAGTTGCTATGGGAGACACAACTAGTCAAAATACCATTTACACTTTAACCCTTTAGGTTCTTTTTTTGTCATCCTAACATTTGTTGATCTCTTTTCTGAGCAGTTAGGCACATTTTCAAACAAAGCACTATTTCCCCCCCTTAAATAAGTCTCTAGCACCCAAGACTACCTGCTTTGTGGTATGCCAACTTCAAAAATAATTAAATTATATAATTAAAAAATTAGATGGGATAGAAATCCCAAAGAATACCAGTGTATCATGTTATTGTTCCTTAGTACTTCTGGCAAATGTAGTGATCCTTGGTTTTCTTAAAGTTGGTGTAAAAAAGACCCACCTTTCTGGGAGGAACAACTCTGGCATTATATCCAAGCCATGTTTTGATAATTGTTTCACTAAAGTTACCAACTATTTGTGCAGCAAACAATCATACCAATTGGGTCAACATTGTTACAGGTAGTCCTCGACTTACAACATTTTGCTTAGTGACTTCAAAGTTACAACGATACTGAAAAAAGTGACTTACGGCCATTTTTCACACTTATGACTCAGCATCCTCATAGTCATGTGATTTACATTCAGATGCTTGACAACTGACTCAACAGCTGCAGTGTTTCAGGGTCATGTGATCACTTTTTGTGACCTTCTGACAAGTAATGTCAATGGGGAAACCAGATTCACTTAATAACCATATTATTAATTTAACAACTGCAGTGATTCAGGACTTCCGGTTTCGCAGGCTTGTGGATTCTCTGCACCCCCATGGCTAATTTCCCCCAGCCTGGGGACCCTAAATGGTCTAAGTCACCCCAGAGGTGACAAAGAAAGAAGGGTGCTCCAGTGATTCTGGAACAGCGGTGGCCATTCCATTCGACTTGGGGAAAGCCTTCTAACCCAACAGGAGAAAACCTTCTAACCCAACAGGGTAGTGTAAGCCCAAGCTACTAGCAATCAAAGTCCAAAAGCACTAACCAGCACAATTGTGAACAGCGTGCTTGAAACTGGGTGAGGAATTCGATCTTCTCTTTTCTATTCTACATTTAATTTCCTGGAAAAGATCCCCAAGAAGCAAAATACCTCCAAAAGGGAAGGAGGGGGATTTCCGCCCCACCCTTATACTAACGGAAGCGGCGAATTAATCTTTTTATGGAGGATCAAAATATATGGAAATGAAATAAATATAAAACCTGAAAATTAAAACTTATATCTGGATCAATCTAAAATTGTTTGAATGGTTAAGACTCTCATTTTAAAGATAATTGTTTATTTTGGAAATTGAAAAACAAATAGTTGCTGACACCTAGTGGTGGATGAAGACTATGACAGCTATGACTTTAATATAAGACTTGGCAAAACCTGGGAAAAGCTAATCTGTGTTTGTGACCTTCAAAGTTTTAACAGCAAAGAACAACTGTGACAAAAAAAGACAATAATCTGGGCTGTAGACAAAGAGAATTATAAATTTTAGGGGAAAAGTCTTTTTTGAACTATTTGGATTACAAATATCTATTTAATTTGAGAAAAACTCAAATTCTTGGCCATCATGGATCAGAGACATGTAGAAAAAACATATCAAGAAAACATAAATACTTCACAGGACGAGATATATAGTATACTGCAACTAATTCAAACAACAATGACTTTAAACCACAAATAAATCCAAAATAACTTTGAAAATATAAATCAATCTATTTCTAAGTTAACTCTACAACAAAATTCCCAGAAAACAACAACAGAAGGAGCAGATAAAACAGATAAATGGATATAGAATTGAGAATAGAGACTTAAAAGATGGAACTTAACAAAGCAAGAAAACATGATTTAATCCTAGTGGGAAAAAATTCACAAGAATTGGAAAAAACAACTTATCCCTTAAGACTACAAATAAATCTGAGGATAAGAAAACAGATTGGATAAAATGGACTGTAGAGATGTCAGGAGCATCGGAGAATATGGTTAAAGAAATAGAAACGTTTTGGAATATATATGTCATTCTAAGAGGGATGAATTCCCTAAATAATATAGTATCCTTTTCCCCCTTTTTTGTTCTCTTTCTTGATATGAGTAATATAAAAAAGTTGAAATGACTTAGATAAAGGAAATGTTTTAGATATTTAAATGTGATTGAATTTAAGAAAATTATAATGGATAAAAATGTTTTGAATAAGTAAAAGGACTAGATGTATTAAATGGAATGTAACATTTTAAATTATGGTTAAAAATAAGAAATTTAGGAAATAAATATATATTAGTTTAGGAGGGATATATATTTTAAGTAGTATGTTATTTTTTATGTTTCTTTACTCTTGCTCTCCTTTTTTTTCATTGTTTTATCTATTCCTTAAGAAATGTAAAAGTGTGAGATGGTTCATATGGGAAAATAGAGTTAAATTTTTTAAATGTAATTAATTTTTTGAGAAAATCTTAACCAGTAAAAATACCTAGATTTGGTGGGAGAAACAAACTAAAATAAGGACTGTAACAGGATCTATGATAAGGCAACCAGAATGATTGGATAGAAGACAAATATTATATTGATATGATTATTATTTTTAGGAATATTGGGGAAAATTATATATTTAATTGTTATCTATCAAAACAATAAGCATTATATTAACTCAATGTTTGCAAAAGAGGATATTTTGGGAAAAGAGGAAATCAACTAAAACCATTATGTGGATTATGGATTATAGAAATCAATCGTTAATGATTGTTTTACAAATGTAACCCAGACAACAAACTGTTCACCAATTATTAAGTGATTTATGTTTTTAAAAAATCAATAAAATATATTACAAAAAAAAACCAACTGCAGTGATTCACTTAACAAATGTGGCAAGAAAAGTCGTAAAATGGGGCAAAACGTACTTAACAAATTTCTCACTTAACAACATAAATTTTGGGCTCAATTGTCGTAAGTTGAGGACTACCTGTATTTAGGGAATACCAAGTTTCACCCACTTTCTCCAAGAAATGCTACTAGCATCCCATGAACCTTGGCTTCAGGAACATGTTGGCAATATCACAAGCCACCCAGTGTTTGGGGTGTATGTTCCATTCTGGGCCGTGGCATAGAGTTCTGTAATGAATATATGGGCTGTTTCTCCTAGCCCTTTCTTGGTGGTCTACGTAGGCAAAAGGGGACAACTGCCTTAGCTTTAGTTCTAGTTCTACCAGGTGACCAGCTAGAGTCAGTTTAATCCTATGCAAGTCTGAATATCCTGTGGGCTAAATTTAAGCCATAAGGCAGTGGTTCTCAACCTGTGGGTCGGGACCCCATTTGGGGTCAATCGACCATTTCATGGGGGTCGCCAAGCAAGGCTGTCCGCCATTTTTTTGTCCGCCATTTTTTTTGTCCGCCATATTTTTCCCCCTTTTCCGGCGGGTGCCTTAGCTCCCTTGGGCTGGGCCAGCTGGTGGTCGGCCTGCTCCGTCTCTGCCGCTTGCCAGCTATGCCTCGGCCGGCGCAGGGGGCGGAACCACGCATGTGCGGCGCTCCCAGGCAGAGAAAGTCCTTGACTTACAACCGGTTGGGTAGTCCTCGACTTATGACTGGTTCAGTCCTCGACTTACGACCGCTTTAGTCCTCGACTTACAACCGATTTAGTCCTCGACTTACGACCGGTTGGGGTCGCAGCATTAAAAAGGTTGAGAACCACTGCCATAAGGGATTTCTTGATCCAGCTAAGCATTTTATGAGAACAGGGACTACACAAGCTTAATCTTAGCCAAAAGACTGAGAACCAGTGGAAATGGATTAAATGTGTATCCCATTTAATGTGACCAGCTATTGAGGCAAATTTTAAATAGCAGCTGAGAAGAAAATCACAACCAGTGTGTTGCAAAATGAACAAGGTGCCATAGTCCCACAGGATCCCCTTTCCCCTAACAGGCTGTTACTTTTTAAAGGATAGTGTATAAAATAATGTTTATGCCTTTCCTGACTTTACTTCAAAGATAGTATGCCAGTTTGGATTCATGGATTACATAATGATTTATTTGATTTTGGCTTAATGTAGTTGTAGTTTATTCCACAACATATGGTACAATGCAATGCATAATAATGTAAAATTTTCACATTTTTGCTATTTATATAGTTACAGTCATATCCATACTGATGAGTCAGGAACAAGCAGGCAGCTAGCTTGTTTTTGTAAAAACTACAGAGTACAAAGCCAGGGCAGGAGGCATTGAGCATTCTGGATTATATATTCCCCAATCTGCAGAAGTGAGTTAGTAGTGAAGGATAAAAATTATATACAAATCTATGTGGCAGGGTGGGTAATTACTTTGTAAAAGACAATTGCATTATTTTGAAAAATAACCCAGGAATATCAAATAAAGTGATCATAATATATATTATGCTTTTGTAGAGCTGGGACCATGATCTTGCAAAGACTGCTCTTGGCTGGGCAAAGATGTGCGAATTTAATCATAATCCTGATCTCCAATCACCGAGGAAGGCCCACCCAAACTTCACAGTAATTGGAGAAAATATTTGGACTGGAACCATTTGGTATTTTAATGTGACTTTAGCCCTCACTACTTGGTACAATGAAGTCCAACATTACAATTATGCTACTCAGAGTTGTAAACGTGTATGTGGGCATTATACTCAGGTAAGTCATTAATTATATCTTGCATTGTGACTTCTAAAAATAGCAGTTGGCAGTTACTTTAAAAACCTGGACTAATGTAGTTACAACTTCCAAATTGCTTGATTCCACTTGGCAAGCCTGCACTTGTACTTTAAAAATTGCCTATGCCAAAAAAAGTGACCAATCTGTAAAGGCATGTGTTGAGCCTCCAAAAATCCCACCCCACCAATCCCATCTTTTTAAAAATAATCACCATTTTCCATGGTCCAATGGCTTTGTGCCTTGGTTATCCCTGTTGGCATTTTCTGTGGATTGCCATTGAACCCCATCTCAAACTTAATAGCAACTCACTAGCTATTCTTGCATCCATTTTATTTAATAACCTGAAGGAAAAAGAAACATGCATTGTTTTGCCCAGTCAAAGAAAATGTTCCTTCTTTGATATTTTGGGTCTAGCCAATAAATCAGAAATCATCCACTTCTAATGATCCTTGATGGAATGATAAAGTCACAGACAAGTTTTTATCAGGTGTTTTTATTATATAAATAGGTTTACACATGATCATTGGGAACAAACAAAAGTTGAATCTCATTTATTCAGATCTCTAACTATGGGAACAACTTTCCATGTTTAAGGAAAGACGCTTAGGCCATATAAATCTACAGATTCATCACACAAAAATTCATTTCCCTATCCCCATCCCAATCTATATGTGAAAAAGCTGACACTTTATTCTGAAAGGTTTTATTAGTATTTACAGTAGATGTGAAAAAATAAGAGTGGTGTTTTCAAAATAATTTCACAATCTAAGTCTATGCATCTCATCTGAAAAAAACAGCAGAGTGAGTTTGGTTAGGCAAAGCAGCACGGGTACTTCATATAAGTTAAGTTTACTTCGGTATATTACCTGTCAGTGATTGATTTAGTATGCCTGTAAATTAATTCTTTTGTTATTTTGAACATTAACATATGTCATCATTATCGTTAAAGAAAATGCTACATAGCAGGTGTCCTATTTTTAGCACAACTGCGGGCTAATAGTATACACTAAATTACACTAGTATACACTAAATTACCACAGAATATACCAATTTATTTTCAGATGGTTTGGGCAGAAACCTACAAAGTTGGCTGTGCTGTTCACTTTTGTCCTATAGTACAAGACTTTGATGGACCTAATGCTGCACACTTCATTTGTGACTATGGACCCAGGTAAGATTTTTCAATTGCAATTTGTCAAAAATTATCTTAGGAAGGAACATCTCTAACTCCTTTAGGAATTGAGAAACGGTACCTATGTGTATTCAGGCCCATTTACTTCTTTGATTATAGATCAAAATTAAAACCCACAGTAAAAACAAATGCTGAGTTTTATCTCCAGAATGCAAATTTAGCTTTGGTTGGTCATGTACCAGACCTATCCATACCATATTAGTCTAACTGTAATTACATGGAATGGGTTGAATTATAAGGAAATCCTGTTAACATTCTGGATCCCTTTAAAGTGCTGAGGCAAGATTTAAAATCCTAAATAATACATCTTAAAGTTGCCAAAGTTCAGAAACACTGTACTAAAGGAAGGTCTGACAGTAGGCTATTCCTGTAAGATTTGTTAATGCCAGGGACAAAAGCATTGCAAGCAGCAACTAATTCTACTGATGAATCCAAGGACTCTCTCTCTCTCTCTCTCCGTGCCCATAATCCTTGACTATGAAGATCTTCTTGATTATAAGCTTTTCAAATAATTAAACAAGTTCTCAGCTGAGTTTCATCATTTTATTTTGGTGGATTTAATTGTTACTGCTAAGGCTCTGATTTTTTTTTTGTTATTATTACAAGTGAGAAACTAAGACACTCTGGGAATCTTTTTAAAAGCAAGGTAGAAATATAGTTGAAACAGAGAAAAAGCAGGTCCTAACCCTCTTCTCCTAAAGTCTTCTGATTTTACTCATCTTGATTCTGCCTTAGTGTCTTATTATTATAGTTACAGTGCCATGACATACTTTTTTAGAGAAGACCTTTACCTGGTATTCAACCTTTTAATCTCATCATATGAGAGAGATAGATCCCACACAGCCTGTGATCTTACTTGCTAGTGAAAAAAAGTGGAAATAAAATAAATGCTATGTCATCTTCTGTTCCTAGTAATTTTAAGTATGTGGCTAAGAAAGGAAGTAGCTTACTTCCCTCTTTGGAGAGGAGATCACTAGCACAAGTTATAATGTATAAACTCCTTTGTAACTTTATGTAGAAACAAAAAAGAAAAAAGTGTTGGACAAAACATATAGTAGTCTAAAACCAACATCTTAAAATAATCTCTTATAAAAGCCATCATGGAGAATATAAAGCTGAGACAAATTCAAAATGGGTAGGAACTGCTACAAAGAGTCCAACATCAATGAATCATTTAACTTGCATAAACACAAACTTCAAATGCCATTATTATCAGCAATAAAATTTGAACAAGCATAGCAAAAATAAACTAAAACATTCCAAGAAAGCATTTTTTTAACTATTAATCTTTGTTCATGTGTTATCTTGAGGTTCAGGTCATAGTTCAGCTGAGTGTGTTGATTTCTCAATGAGTCATTCAATGGATAGTATTTTGGTAATTACAGATTTCACTGATGTGATTTTTTTAAACATTTGTTCATTTATTGGTGTTGAGCACACAAAAACTGGAGAATACTGTACTTAAATACTATTCCTTTTTTTAGTGATTTGAAAGATTTAAAGCAAAGTTGGTATTCAATCTCCCTTTTATGTAAGGTGGGAATAAAGGAAAAAGCTGACAAAGAAGAAAGGAATTCATTGCACTTTAAACAGTATTACTGAATATTTATTAACCATTTTTTGCCTTTAATATAAATTTGATAGTCCAAACAATCAAATTCAAAGTACTTTCTAAATCAAACTGAAATAATTTGGAAATAGTAAAGAATACTAGCAAATAAATGTTTCAGTTTTAAGGGTCCGTCTCATTGATTTAAACTTAAGAAAACTTCTGTTATATTTGGCTGTGTTACAGTTTCTAGTAACACTATTCTGTGGTTTTAATGACCAGTACTTACCAGAAATTATTCCAGATTATAATTCAGTTAAAGCACTGACCTGAAAGAAGAGTGGTTGAACTTTTTCTCCTGTCTTTGTATCAAGTGAGCTGACAAAATTGTTGTTTTGCACAGTGGGAATTATCCAACATGGCCATATAAATCAGGAGTACCATGCAGTGAATGTCACGGAGAACCTTGCTTACACAGACTTTGTGGTAAGTAAAAGGACTAGCATGCATTTCTTCATCTGTCACAAGTTAGGGTCTTTTTTAAAAAATAAAAAAACTTTCAAAACAGAACTTCCATGAATAAAATACCAATCTTTAATTATCTAGGCAATCTCAAATTTACATAAGTTTCTTCTGTTTATATTGATCTGTCATTAATCTAGATGCAACTATAAATAACTTTTGAAATTTATTTGTAGGTGAAGTATGGGTGGCGCCATATTGTGATAACTACTGCATCATCGTTCTAGTCCTGAGAACATCTTCATTTTTAATAACTTTTGTAACTGTCTTTTTTCTGAAGCAACATTATCCCAGAATGTATATGTATAAATAAACTGGAACAAAAAATAAGCACTTTTGTAAGGTATTAAACAATGAATTGATAAAAATAGTAAGACATCCATGATTTTTAGATACATTTTCAAAATATTTTTTAGGAATTAAAAAAGTACAAGTAGCAGAAAAAGGTCTTCCACAGATAAACATGCAATGAACATAAAGTTATTACTGACAACAATATTCACCAAGTACCATTCTACTCTGCTTATCACGCTCTTGGCTCTTTATTGATCTGAATGAAAAAAATAACTCAACGTTCAATTGCAACCAACATTTGGCAAGCAAAATTCTCCAGTAATATAAACAAAACTTAAAGTAGTCCCCTTCCATAAAGATTGAGGAAATATGTAAATAGTTTATGCAAGCCTAGTAAACAAAATCAATTAATAAAGCAATATACATTTTTGTTTAGAAAATGTTTCAGCTGCCCTCAGAAAACCTGTTATTTCTTGAAATGTTCTAGACAACTATCTTTCGGAGTCCCATGCAATAAAACAAACAAAACCAAGTTTGTTGGTATTTGTACACTGTACAAAATCTTCTCAATGATAATCCTGCATATACTATCATTTTTACACCAATAGCTGTAAGTCAACAGTTTATTCTAATGGATATCACACGTATGGAAATATTTCCCACATTGTTTAAAATACAACAGAGCAAGCTGTCAATTTTAGATTAAAAACCTGGAAAGGTAATTTTCCCCTTCTTCCCTCAAGGAATGCAACTTTTCATCTTCTATGATGTTAACTGACAATAAGGCAAATAAATAAAAACAAATATAAAATTGGAGTTCATAGCTTTCTTCCTTGCAAAAAGTGAAGTGCTATAACTTTAAAGATGGTTTCTTTTTCTTTTTACCTACTGCAATTTTTAATTTAATCTCTTCTTCTGGTAGTGCTCCAACCTTCTTCTTTGCTTTTTTAACCTTTTCTTTAATTGCTTCAATATCAATCTTTGTTTCAGTTGTTGCTACACAGTAAAAGAGTAAGTTTTTTCTTATTAATATGTCTAATCCAAGAGATATGCAAAACATTTCCAAGCATAACAAGTAAATCCATTTTTCAATGTAAGCATAAAACACAAAAAATCAAGAGTTACATGCCAAGCTAACGAATCCAGTTATATTAAAGTGCCATACAGAGATGTTGCTAAAGAGATTACAAGTTGTAAGATTCTAATTCAACCATAAAATGTAGATTTTTGGATCCAAAAATATAAATTAAATTTGAATAACTTCCAAAGCATATTAATAGTATTTCAGATTAATCTAGTTATTAATACTTTGATTAGTAAGCATAGTCTTTAGCTAATATTTAATCAGCCAGCACAGGAATTTTGGGAGAATAGCAGTTATCTGAAACTACCTTTACAAAGGAATTTTCAACTGTTTTTGTCTACAAAAGGTAGACAGTGCCCATGCTACAGGAGTAGAGTTCTTTAGTATCAGTGAACTTTGATTTACCCCATCTTGCTTAAAATTACTATTATTGGGGTGGATCAATTCTTGGTCTTACAAATCACAGCCTCTTAATTTTATAAATTAGCTTTTTTAGATTTAAAGAATATAAATGTCAAGAGGGAGCTATTCTTGTTACATTGTGTATTTCAAAAAAAACCAATGTATTTCCTTGAATTAGAATATAATTATCATTTTTAGCAAATTAACCTTCCATTTATTTATTTGTCTCTCAGTCTTTTCAACAAAGAGCCCCGGCAGTAGTAATTTATTCTGTAAGTAACAGATCAAAATGCTTCCTCTCAATAAGGAGACTGTCGTTTGCAAAATGTTAAGAATAAGAAACTAATCTTACTTTTCTTTGGTTTTACAACAGGTTTTTCTTTAGGTGGAATAAAAGCTTTATTTCTCTCCTCCTGTCGCTTGCTAATTGCTTCTGCTTGCTTTGCCTAAACATAAAAAAAGATCATGTAGCATAGCACATACAAAATTAAATACATATTAAGTTAACAAATCAATCTTCATTCTGGTCACAACCAGCAACTATGTTAATTAACAAAGAATTCAAGAGACTGTACCTTTATCTCTTCTATTCTCTTACGCTTCTTCTGACTTTCTTTCAAGAAATATTCACCACTTGCTAATTCTTTATCAACCTGTAAAAGTAGCATGAGCATACATATTCCACAGTAAAAATTGTTGCCTTGGTTCCATATTTTAAAAAATCAGAAGTTAATGGTTTTCATAATTCTGACATCACTGCCAAGTATATTAAAATTGAGAAAATACTATTAAACATAAAACTCTTTTCATTTATACACAATCAACTTATACTATTAATTTAACTTACTAAGTTCATTTTGGGTAGCAAATCATTACACACACATATTGCAATGAAAGACAATTATTTCCAAAAAGCTGCAATTGGTTATTGTTATCTTTAGGCTATATTTATAGGGAAACGTTGGTTAAATTTCACAATACACTAAAATAAGGAATGGGGAAACTGTGCCATCCAGATGATATTAGAGTTATCATTGGCTTTATTTATCACATTTTGGAACCGCCCATCTCCCTCGCTATATTTGAGGGCTACCTTCTCTTAAAACAACTGGTACATCATAGTTTGCTATCCATGTACTACAGACATTAGCTGTCAGAAAACTCTTTTATGTTGTTCAGTAACATTTCAGATTAAACAGACCTGACTTTCTGGTTGTGGAGGTGGGAAGGGAGTGTATTCTTTCTTGACATTTTTCTTCTTTGGTTCCTTCCGTTTGTTCAAATTCTTGTGTTTGAACTTGGGCAAAAAACGTTCCCAGCTTTGCAATCTTAATTCAGGATCTTTTGACAATTCTCTTTTAATCATTAGTGTCTTCAAACATATTAAAATATCAAGCAGTAAGTTAGAAGAAAAATTCTATTAATTTATCTAACCTAAGGAACAATCAGGAGGCTTCATATCACATCCCAGATATAACATAAACTCATTTAAACAGAGGAGAAAGTGTTTCAATTATAAGTAACAATTAGCTCAACTTAATGATTCTTCTGCTTCAGATGATTTTTAATACAAGTAGTCCTTGACTTACGACTATTCCTTCATCAACCATTCAAAATTACGACACTGCTGAACAAACCTTCTGACTTTTCTGTGGGTGTGGTTGCTAAGCCCAATAGTTTTAAGAGGTTTTAGTTTCACTTTTGTGGGTTAAAACAAAAGCAAATATTCTGGAGACTTCTGGTTTTGAGCTTGTAGCACATGGCCGCATAAGAGCGGACCTCTGCTCCCCACAGCTAGTTTTGTCCTGCTAGGGAGACCCTAGATGGGTCTGAAGTCACTCCGAAGAGGTGACCGTGAAGGAGGGTGCCCCGTTGATCATGAAGCGATGGCAATCGCTTCCTTTGATCCGGGGAAAGCCCTCCGAACCCGACAGGAGAAAGGCTAGCGTGAGATCAGCATCTAGCCCAAGCTACTTGCAGCCGAAGTCCCAGAGCACAAACCTGAATATCGGTGAACAGCTTGCTTGGAATTGGTGAGAGTACTGATCTTCTTTCTTCTATCTACTAACTAAATCCTTGAAAAGATCCCCAAAGCAAGAAAACCTACAGAAGTTAAGGGAGGGGACTATATCCCCATTCCCTTACAGATGGAAGCGGCAAATTAATATTAAAGGAGGAAAGAAATATACTAAAATTTGATTTAAAATACTACAGTTGGACAAATCTAGGAACTAAAAAGCTGTCAAGATTATACCCTAAAGAATTTTTGATGGAATTATAAAAATATGTAACAAAAATAACTTTTTGATTGAAAAAAAACTGAAAAAAGAAATAACTGCTGACATCTAGTGGAGAATCAGAGAATAGAACACTAACAATAAGGACTCAGAAATTTGCAGAATGCCTAGAAACAAAGAAAAAGTTGTTCCTTTGAATTGCAAATAGCCTTGAAGACAGCTGGGAACAAAGGAAGAGCTGGACTGTTGCTTAAATCTAAGAACTGTTTATGGAAAAGAAAAACCTTGGCTTTTTGGCCTAATCTTTTAGAGGAGAATCTACAAGAAGGATTTAAAGTGGCTTAACATACTGAACTGTAATTTTGACTGACTGATAAACTGACTTTTGAATTAAAACATTGATGAAATATTATTTGAAGGGGGGAGACAACATGGACATCACATACGTATCAAAAAATGACAGGACGCCACATTCAATATTTTCTCCTGAAGGACTTAGCCTGGAAAATCAAGGGCCTCCAGAAGCAATACTTCAAGGCAAGATAAATACTTTTTAAGAGGAAATATATGTAATGTTAGGACAAATACAAATGACAATAGACTCAAACCATGAAGAAATTCGAAACAATTTTGATGATTTAAATAAGCATATTTCCAATTTAAATCTACAATTAAAAAACATCCAGGAAATAACAACAAATGAACAAATAATCAGACAGCAGACTACAAATTAGAAGAGTATGATCAAATTGATGAAATAACAAAGGACAAGAATTACAATTTGACACAAACAGGAAAAAACCTACAAGGTTCTGATTCAACAAGAAAAATGGAATGGACTATAGAACTATCAGAACCATCAACGTTTGGGAGACAGAAAGTATTCATCTTACTTACTTCATCTTTTGTATTCCCAACATTTGTAAAAATACAGGAACTGCTGGGTAAGCGGATTACATCAACTTGGAAAATTACTCGGCAAAAGAAGATCAGAGACAGATAAAAGAGATTTGACTCGCCCTACCAGATGGACTATTACGTGAATAAATATTTGTTTGAATATGGCTAAAAGAACAGAGAATTTTGAACATAAAGGGGCCTTATAACAAGAAGGATAAGAGATTTAAGTAATATAGTATGTTCCAAAATATATGAAATGTTAAAATAGCAGGTTGATATAACTTTTATTAATATAAGTGAAATATAAACTGATTAAAAAGGATGTTATACCTAGATACTATAAGATAGATAAAAAGTATGGTATTTTTATAATGCATGACATAAAATATTGGGATGATGTACCTAAATGGGAAAATTTGGACAGTTAGATGACTAATATGAAGAAATGATGACTGTTAAGAATTGGATTGCATATAAGGGAATTTAAGCAAATAAAAATTATAAAAATAGGATGCATGCTGAACTAATGAGATAATGGTTATGAGAATAATATAAGCTGAAAAAAATGTTATATATAGAGATTATTATTTGTACAAATATAAAAAATGCCTATATGTAATCATTTATATACTGAAAATATTAAGAATTATATTTTGACTAAGGTTGAAGAAGGAGAATACAAATGGGAGAAGGGAAGATCAAAGAGATATATCATTAATTAATGTATTATTTATGGAATTATCAAATTTAATTATTATTGATTTTTAATTAATTATTATTGTCCTTTTTTGTTGTTAAAATATAAACCAAGACAACATGCTGCAGGCACTGGAGATTGTTATAGTTAAAAACCAATAAAATATTTATATATATATATATATAAAGAAAAAGTACTGGAGTGTACAGTACTGAACAGATTTATATTGAAGGAGTTAATGTTAAATATGTAAACCCAGACAACATGTTGTTTACTAAGCTCTAAAGATTGTAATTTTAAAAAATCAATAAAAACTTATAAAAAAAAGAATGCAAAGATTGGATAAAATTTTGTCCAGGGTTTTAAAGCATCCTCACAGCTCAAGAAATTTTAAAATTCCTGAATGAGAGTGAGCTCTGCAGATCAAAGGTTTAGTTTGACCCAGTATTCCACTGTAATAAATGTAATAACTACCTTTAAAAAAAACAACAAAACAAAAGCAAATATTCCTAGAGGAGATGACTTCAATAGGAGCAGCCATTTCCACTGAAATGGAAGCAACCACACTGTAGTATCCCATAACTTGCACATGGCCTGCAGTAGGTCTCCTAAGAACTCCCTCACCACCTAAGGCACCCCATGTTCCATTTAATAACCTGCGTGGTCACTTAAGGAAAGCCATGATATGGTCCTAAATTGAGCCAGGTCATGTGGTGACCCACTCAACAATCCCAATGACCTATGACCAAAAGACTGGACTCTATTATGGTTGTAAGTCAAGGATTAACTGTAGAACCAATAAACCGCAGACAGGCAAAAAATAAGAAGCAAATTGCACATTTATTCGAATGTTGTGTTCACATGAATTTGCAATCTTAAATATTTAAAGGAGCAAATCTATATTCTATAGATTTATACTCTGCTGAATTAGGGGTTGCTAGGTATAGAAAACTTCCATGATCTTTTCATGGGTGCTCCCTTGGGTAGTTGGAGGAATTTCTGTCATTTTCAACAGCAAAGAAGCTGAAATGAAAACAGCTAAAAATCAATTCAGTATGCAAAGTTACTGCATTCCCTTGTTCTCTGACCATGCCTTAGAATAAGTTAGAATTACAACCTGTATTTTGTAGAACTGACATCTTTAATTTATTTTAATTTAATGGGTTTATTGTCATTCTCTGACATCTACTGAATATGGGGTTTGGGATTCAATTCAATCAATTTCACTGCAGAATTCTGGGAAAACATACAATTCCTCTGCCCAAAACACAGCCAAAATTATTTTAGATCAAATATTTTTATTTTACCTTGATATTATATATGGGATGAATATTCTTCATGGTATCCAAAACAACTTTCCGAACCTAATTTTAAAAAAAGACAAGATTGCAAACTGATTTATTTTAATAATTTAAACAAAAGGTGAGCAAACATTTTTAACCAGGTGGCTACATACTGTACACTGTTTCTGCCCTGCCCAAGTCCTGCAGGTGAAGGACTGAAATTTTGGTTCCATTTCTCCTTCTGGATATTTTTTGTGGAGCAGTAAGAGTGGGAGGGGTGTTAAGAGGCAAAACTGGTTTCTTATATCTTGAAGTGGGAGAAAATTCTGGAATTGCAAATGGATGCTAAAGGCTGCACGCAACCTGTAGGATACAGGTTAATTAAAATATCTAATTCCTAGATGATTACATTTCTAACACTGGAAGATTATTTTAAAAGCAATTTTATTTTCTATAAGTATGATTATGTGTCCTTTAGTCATTTCAGAAAATTAATGAAGACATAATTGGAACAGCAGATTGTCAATTA